CAGTGCTCGTCAAAGTGGTGGTCCGCGGACCGGTGCCGGTCCGTAAGCCATAAGTCGCCGGTCCGCAAAGGGCGTCGCGAAATGGACAACGATTTTTTAAACGATTATATATACATATACGACGAGTTAGCTGCTGACGAAGGATTGAAGATGGTTTTCGAAACTATGACATCACTTACGTCATTTTGGATTCATGTCAAAGCAGAATACCCGGAACTTGCTGAAATTGCTCTGAAAGCTCTACTCCCATTTCCTTCATCTTACCTTTGTGAGACTGGGTTTTCAACCATGAGTATTATTAAGAAACTGCAGCCGGTCCGGCACACTCAAAAGTTCGACGAGCACTGGTGTAGAACCCGCTAAAAAAATCTACTTTTTTCACTCTCTTGTTCTTACGTGATCTTGTGTCTTTCGTTCATGACTAATAGCTGTATTTTTTTGTAAGCGAGTGACAAAAGAACGCTCAACTCGGGTTAAATTTCCTTTTAGCTACTTAAGCAACCCTGCTGGTAGCTGGCAAAAAACATGTGATTAGTTTAACGGGATTAAGATACAAAAAACAATACAAATTAGTTATTATGCGAGGTATTTACATAATATATATACTTATTTAAAATATAAATCATGTATATACGAAAACAAAAATTTCCCTTTCCAATTTCCCAGTAACCATTCACAATAGAGCAGTTTTTTCACTTAATAACACTACTCTTCAGGTCGCGTATTTTTTAACCGACCTGGCTGAACTCGGATAAATAGCCGAGTTTTTGTTGTTGCGTTGCGTGTATTTCGTCATTTAAGCGAGTGTTCTTTTGTAGCTCGGTTGCAAAAGAATGGACCTAATAATGACTTTTGGTGGTGAACTTGGATTTTGAGACTATTTGGTGTTCAGTACGCTATCTCACGTCTCTAGTCCCAAAAAAAGTCATTAATTTGTCAGCTGGCTAAGAGCAGGTCAGCGATCGGACTTCTACCACATTGTGGTAGATCTGCACTTTTTTGAGCATCTACCACATCTACCACACAAGGTCTAAAATCTATCACATAATCGCGTTTTTGAGTAGTTTTATTTTTGCTCGACATAATTTTCTTAATTTTGAGAACAAAAACTGTCTAACACTTAACACTAACACCAGGCAGAATGGGTGAATTTTCCCAATATTCAATTTTTCGACAGGAAACGTGGTTGTATTGTGTTTGCAAAATATATGATTTATAAAAAGAATTAAGAGCGAAAATGTTAAAAAACGGCAATTTTCGTGAAAGTATTAGCAAATTTCAGTGCATCTAAAGTTTCTAAAGCGTTGTTTACTTTTACTTGAGAATTGTCAAAATCGGCAAATCTCAAGTAGCGGTTTCTGGAACGTGCCACATTTGTCCGCTACATCGTAATGTGATAAAAAGAAAAGCTGGAAGCACTCCGCAAGGTTGCAGAAATCTTTCAAAACATGTTCGAAAAACATCTTGATATGGAAGGAACTGCTTTACACTGTCAAGGAAAAATATTGCAAAACTCAACGGAATTTTTAGCAACTTCAATCGTACACTTTATTATAATATAATTAANCATTTAGCAAATGTACATGACAAAAAGCCGTGTTCCAGTCGCTTATTCAGATCCGTATCTATTACGATAAATTCTCACGGAAAAGATAATGTGCAAAAACCCCTACTGTAAAGGAAAAAAAATTCTAAACCGAAAATTCAATACAAAAACTTGAATTGTTTTAACCATAACCGAACACTTGTTTGTGTACATATTCATTTGTCGGTGCTGTCAATTAAAACTTCCACACTTAATTAGGAAACAAAACAAACAGTTGATCACAAATTAATCCAGATTTCTATCAGCATCATATCGATGTTGAATTTGAGTAACTTTTCTTTATCCAAATAATGTAAAATAATAAATGAACTCGATCACTGAACCGCAGCTAGCGACTGTNATTCTAATTAAAATGTTTGCAATTTAGGTGAAACCTTGCAGAATATTTTTGATTTTTGTACAAAGTTTGATCCAAAAGCTTAGATCTACAACATTTTTTTTGAAATCAACCACATTTTTTTCCAGATTCTACCACACACATTTTTTTTGAAGTCCGATCACTTTCCATTCCATTTTATTAAAAAAAACATTTTTGGTGAGCTTTTTGTGACTCTCTCCTACTGAATAGCCAAATCATCTCAAGTCACAAAAATAGTCACTAATTGCTAATCTCAAATTTAGTGATTTGAGATGAGACTGATGCAGCGTTTTTGCTGCATTTAAAATGCAACATTTAGTACTTTCGAACATATGTTTTCGAAGAGCGTTCATACTATCGCATTTAGCAAATGTACATGACAAAAAGCCGTGTTCCAGTCGCTTATTCAGATCCGTATCTATTACGATAAATTCTCACGGAAAAGATAATGTGCAAAAACCCCTACTGTAAAGGAAAAAAAATTCTAAACCGAAAATTCAATACAAAAACTTGAATTGTTTTAACCATAACCGAACACTTGTTTGTGTACATATTCATTTGTCGGTGCTGTCAATTAAAACTTCCACACTTAATTAGGAAACAAAACAAACAGTTGATCACAAATTAATCCAGATTTCTATCAGCATCATATCGATGTTGAATTTGAGTAACTTTTCTTTATCCAAATAATGTAAAATAATAAATGAACTCGATCACTGAACCGCAGCTAGCGACTGTATAACAGAATAATGCGCGCGTGGTTTTAATTACAAAATGAAAAGAACAATTACGATAAAGTTTCCTTTAACAGTTTTAATATTTTTAATAAAAAAATAGGTGCGAACTACGTAAGTAAAAAAAAGTACCAAGCACTGGTAATGGTTTTTGACTTGAAGTGTTATTACATTGGTATAAATATGGGAAAGAAAATACTCCGATTTATTGCTTTAATATTATCAAAGTGGCAAGGCCGTTGATAATACTCACAATTTATGAAACTTCAGAAAATTTTATTATCCGTCGAAAGTTGTTTATTGAAATTACCTTCTTTTTTGTATCATGTTATGTACATCAACTGAAAAATAAACTAATCGTTTTTATTTTGACATCATTAGTTTTGGAATTGGTTATGTAGTTCATAAGATTATTTAAAAAAATAAAAATAAAGTGATTCAACCTTTTATACGTACTTTATATTTTTGCGCAAAAAAATGTTGGTGCAGTTGAAACCAGCGTGAGAAGTTCTATCGAGCCACTTTTTTGGTTTTTTTTGCATAGCTAAATGGTTTATATTCTACACTTATACTTGTCTTACGACGATCCAAACGGCAACGTTTAAGCATTAACTTTTCACTAACAATCGACTTCTTAATTTTGCAAACTCTCATTTTTTGTTTTTTAGAAAATTTTCATATTCAACGGGGTGAGATTTCTTTAAATGTGTGTAATAATTTCCGTGTGTATTGAAAGTGGACGTACAAAACAGGCACGTATAGTTACTTTCACCAGTATGCTGAGCCATGTGATCCTGAAAATAATTTTTACATATATTATAGGTATATTAGTATAGAAAGCAGTAACAAATCAATAAATATTATTACAAATTTCCTTACGTTTAAATTGCGCGGTCTCTTGAAAGTTTTATTGCATATTTTGCAAGGATATGTCGTTTTGGGATGAACGCGCAGCATGTGGTTGGTAATAGAGGCCCTACTTTTATACTCTCCTCCGCATACTTCGCATGTAAATAATTTATCTTTATTTTTGGAGTGAAACCTTCGGAGATGCAGGCGTAAACAATCCTCGTCTTTAAGCCAGTGATCACAACCATCTACTGTGCACTTGACTTTCGGTCCACTTTCTTCAAAATGCAAGCGCACATGCTTTTCAAAAAACGCCTTGGTTTTTATTTTTTTGGCACAAACATGACATACGAAGGATGTGTGGTGATGGACCTTTTTATTGTGAATTAGCAACATCGTCTTACAGCCAAAGCGACTATTGGGACATTGGTCGCATATGAACGTTCGCTCGTTCATTGGTACATGCGTGCTACGATGAAGATCCAGCCTTACTTTCCGTGCAAACTTTTTAGGGCATACGTCGCAGATAAAAATTTGGTCTTTCTCTGGTGCATGATGGTCAAGCATGTGCCGCGATAGGGTCCCTAAATCATTAAAATCTTTCTGGCATTCTTGGCACCTAAAACCGATAAAAAATGGTAATAATTAGCCGATATTCTATTGATATCAAACATACATACTTAAGAAGCTCAGGATCGTCGTGCTTGTAGGCATGGTGTACAATTGACATCCAGTGAAGCCATTTTCTGTTACAGCATTTCACATAGGGTTTTGTATTTGGATGAGCTAATCGAAAGTGGTTTCTCAGCAAGGAGAAGTCGTCGCAATCGAAAATACACTCGTTACATCTCATAGGAATGTATTTCTTTACCAATTCATCATCTTTGCATGTAGTTTTTACACCACGTTTTTGTCTCAACTCAGCAATTTTTTTTTCCGACACTGTAAGTTTCTTTTGATTTTTAGCAGATTTTGTAGTATTTTCGGAATGCTCTTTGGCATCATAATTCAATAAAGATGCATCTATAATAGGTTCCGTAGACTTCTCTGTTAAAAGTTCAGGTTCCTGGGCATCACAAGTCGATAAGGATACGTCTGTGTATGTTTTTTTTCCTTGGCACGAAGCTTTTATCCGTTTTTTTCTCAAAATAGGATGGTTTTTCTTTGTCGTTGTAAGTCTCTTTCGATTTTTGACAGGTTCTGTAGACTTGTTTGTTAATAGGGCAGAGTTCTGTGCATTACAAAACGATAAAGATGCGTCTGTAATAGGTTCCGTAGGCTTTTCTGTCAGAAGCGCAGGATCCTGGGCATCGCAAATTGTTAAAGATGCATCTGTAAATGTCTTACTTATTTCTTTATATGAGCCTTTTAAAGGTTTTCGTCCCGAACTAGGAAGTTTTTTCTTTGTCGTTGTACGTCTCTTTCGATTTTTAACAGATGTGTTTGTTAATAGAGCAGGGTCCTGTGCATCTGTAAAAGCATATTTTATATAAATAAACATTTACTATAATGCGTTGTTTTTATTTAATTATATTATCACCTCCTGAACGATTTAAATGTTCCACATCGTTACTTAATTTATCGTATTCTTCATTTAAATAGTCACTGTCATCTAGATCAGCAATTAGTTCGGTAAATGAACTATTTTGTTCATTTTTTATACTGATACTCAAGCATAGATCTCCGGAAAGCTCTTTTGCGTTAACGTCGCTTTTGATAAGCTCAAGTTCAACGGATTCCTTTCGTTTCCTTATTCCGGAGCAAGGCGCTTCTGAAAACTCTTCAGCATTGTATTCGATTTCGATAAACTCAGGATCCGCAAATTCCTTTTGTGGCTCAATTGTAGAGCTGGGCGTAATAGAAAACTCTTCTTTGACAAGGTCATTTTCGATAAACTCATTGCCAACGTATTCCCGGACAAACTCCTTTTCCACATTACTAGCACTAAGTTTAGAATGAGCCTCTTCTATCTCTACATAGAATTGGTGGAAGTTGTATACTTTCGACCAGCAAATTGTACATATAGCTGGGGAAATTCGATCATCAGGACGGGGCTAAAAATATTAAGTTACATTTCAATTTATTATGAAATAAAAAGTACCTTAAACCAAAAATGGCGTTCTAGTATATGAGCGATGTCCAACTTTTTGCCATCCGAATCAAAAATATTCAGAAAGCAAAGAGATTCCTTTACACAGAGACGGCATAACATTTTTTTTTTGGTTTTGGGTTGTGTTGGCAAAGCGGAGCGCCTCATAAGCCAGGTTATTCCTCTAAATTTCGAAACGGATCATTCGCTGCTTATTAAGATTGCCTTGCTGCTACTAGTATCCTGGGTTTTTAATTTCCTTGCTTCTTTGGTTAGTTTTCTACGGCATACTATAATGATTCTTGAAAAAATTGTAAAAAGTAAACAATGAATAGGAATGAAGCCATGCGAGTAAATACAAGTACATACTCGATACTTTTCGATCGATACCAAGTAATTTTGGCATCGATACTTTTGATACTGTGGCGAATACTGCGGCAACACAAAGCGAACAACGAGAAATAGGCAGAATGTTAGAGAAATGACGTAGAATGTTCCACAAAGAGAAACGTCAAGTTGGATGAACACTGCGGACAGCGAGAGAAAGAGAATGAGCGGTGAACTTCAGAAGCACATTTAACTGATTAAAACATAAATTGTTTTTAAATTGGATGTTTACATAATTCTCATAGTAGTTTTATTTTAATTTTGAGTCCTTTTGCAGTTCACTTCATTTTGCTTTGTAATGTCTCAATAATTGTTTAAAACCACGCAGACATATTAACTCACAAATATTAAAATTGTTATTTGGTTTTTTCGTATGCTCACAATTAACAATTGCACCAAGATTACGTCACGCACACAGCTGATTCTGTCAAAATCACAAAGCGGATTAGCGATAGGCGCAATCTCTATTTCTCTCAATTGTGAGTAGTGAATGAAAACAAGCTTAATGTGCCTGATTGAATAATACAAGGTTAAATAATTATTGACAGCCGCGGCTTGACACTCCCTTACAAAAAAATTGATTTTACGAAGGAAGGGGAAGAATGCAATCCCTTGTTGCGAAAATGGTAGTGGAAAAGTACGCAAAAACAAAATATTGAACGAATTATTAATATATCTACATGAATAACGTAATTTATGTGCTATTTAGCTGTATAAAAACTGTAAAAGGACTCAAAATTAAAATAAAACTACTATGAGAATTATGTAAACATACAATTTAAAAACAATTTATGTTTTCATCAGTTAAATGTGCTTCATATGCATATACAAATAAATATATTGCACAAAAGCTTACTACTTCTATTTCACAGCAAAGCTAAACATTTTCCAAGTAAATTTGCACAGAAGCAACACGGTGCCACTGCTAAGGGAGCGGTGCGAGAGAGTTTATTCAATCATGTAGCAATGCAAGTATGCATAATAGGGAATTTAACAGCCCTATTCCGGTTTTGCAACAGAATGACAATTGATCATCCTTCATTGTCGTGATTTTGTCATTGTCGTTGCACGTTGCTATTCCTAATAAAAAATGACAAGCGAAAAGCTTTTGTCAACTTACCATGCATGGTGAAAAGTTCATTGTTGTAGAAACAGCTGGTCAACGCTATTATTTGCAAAAAATATGAGCGGTGAAACACCAGAAAAGTGAGTATTTGTGTGAAATAGATAAATTCGTATATTTATAAAATTTATAAACATTTTAGACGTGCAAAATATGAGCGGACGACGCAGGAGCAGCTGCAATTTTATGTGCAGTTTTGTAGGGAGCATCCGGAACTGCTCGTCTTCCACAAGCACGGCTGCGCAAATAACTAAAATTTGTTCTGCCATTGAAATTAGTTGATTTTTATATTTTTTCACAAATTTATTAAATCGTCGCACTTTTTAAACCAACACAAACATATGTTTTTGCCTTGTCACCTGCCCAAAAGGTCATGACAATAAAAATGACAATTGGCATGATTCGAGCTTTTGAATTTTGCTGCGAATACCAAAAAGCTGCAATTGTCATTTTTATATCAATTGTCATCGCGGTGAGTTTTGTCAGTGTGGCGGAATAGGGCTGTAAGCCTGATATACAGATCAGTGCGAACGTGAGCGTGAGCTTTTTATTTTAACCAATATCTTCGTTATTACTAACTTTTTGCAATAGTTGATACATATGAGCAAATAATTTGATGTTTTCATTATATAACCTCAAATATCGCTAAAAACCGTGTTTTTGGCACTTTGGGGTTAGGATATCTCAAAATTTTAGTGCTAGAGCAATTGTGAGGCCCGATTTGGGTTCCGCACCAAGAAACGATGTGTTTTACGCAGGTGGTAAAAAAAAAATTTGTACAAATAATTAAAAAAGAAATGCTTAACTTACTTGCGTACTAGCATTTTGAACGCGAATAGAATTTAGCAAGGTGGGTTAGCAATTTCAGCTTTTTATCAATCATGGTTGTATTTTAGTCCATTTAAATTTGTAGATTCTTATAAATTCAGTGCTGCCACAGCTTTAAATATTCAAATTATTTCAGGTTTTAACTATCTCGAAGTAATTTTAGTTCAGAAAAAAGCACTAAAAAAGGCACTAAATAATTTTTTTTGCCGTTTTAATTTTCAAAAAGCAGCAGCAGGTTGAACTCCTACCTGTGTAGGTTGAATGAGGATGTGCCGAATGAGTGTCCGGCATGCGGAGAGACCCCACATGACTCGAAACATCTATTCGCATGCCCGGAAAACCCGACAACCCTAACGGCCTTGTCCCTGTGGACAAACCCCACAGAAGCTGCACGCTTCCTAGGGTTGCCGTTGGTGGAACTTGACGACAACGACTGAGATACCAACCGTCCTGGGGGCGGTGTTGTAGCCGCTACAACAACAACAACAACAACAACATGTGAAATTTAGTTGAAACATTTTAGCCGGTTTTATTTGCCAATTTAGCCGGTTCGCCCAAAAAGTTCTGGCAACACTGGTGAGTGTAGTGATTGTAGCAGTTTTTATTAAACCAAAGTCATGATTTTCTTACCTTAAAATAAAATACTGAACATTAGAACTGCTTTCTATCAAATAAGCGCGCAGCTTAACTTTTTAATCTTAGAACACTTGTAGTGTTTGTTTTTTTAACATTATTTTTTCGCCAATTTTCATATTCAACAGTATGCAAATTCTTTAGATGTGTGTAATAATTTCCGTTCGTATTAAAAGTAGACGTACAAAATGCGCATTTGTAGTTTCTTTCACCGGTATGCTGGGCCATATGTTCCTGAAACATTTTTTGCATATCTTTAGCCTTTTCCCGTACTCCAGGATTTGCAGGTTTTACAGGAAAAGCTTTTTTCGCCTTTATTAAACCATATGTGAACGTGACGAACGCGAACAGCTTCCTGTAAAACCTGCAAATCCTGGAGTAGGGGAACAGGCTACATCTATCGTCGGTGATAATTCAAAACGGTATATTTCAATTAGTACATTACACAAGTGTTCTTACATGGCATTTATTTGCACGTATACATGTCACTTTTTACGTATCGCACACCGTCATCAGAAGGGGCACAACTCAAAACTACACGTTTGTTAGAAAATGTGAAAAATTATTTCTTAGAACACGATAAGCATATCGTCACCCTACAAATTTATCAGTTTTGAGTTATTGGGTTGACTTCATTAACCTTTGGATGTTCTATGTTATACCACAACCCAGAATACCATGCGTACACGGAAACCACGTATTTCACAATTTCAATTGCATAAATGTAGTAATGTTTCTGGCATACGGGCGACGATATGGGCAAATGAGACTTTACCTCAAGTTTTTTTTAACAAATTAAAACAAAAATTTGGTATAACTTTCTCTGAAAGGTAAATAAAAGCTCTGTGTACATTTTTAGCGCATAATTTCAAAAATGACAAATTTTGAGTTCTGCCTCTTTTGAAGACGGTGTGCGTTAAGGAATGTAGATGGTATTATGTTAATTTAAACACCTGAGGCAATTGCCGAAAAACGTGTAGCAGTATCACCGACGATATGTATTGAAGCAGTTTAAGCGGTTTAAAATTAATGAGATAACAAATATTGTTAATTTGCTAAAAAGACTATCACAACTCAAATATCGAAACTTTTCAGGAGCCGCGTTTGAAGTTTTAAACTTAGATACATACTTTCAAAATGGAGAAAATACTCTCTCAGGGCACTATGCCTAATAAGCGCAAAAATAATGTATGAGAGTTGTGAAAGTCCTTTAGTAAATGATAGTTATATCCTCACCCTTAGCCTCCATGCTGTTTTGAAAATTTTATTGCATATATCACAAGGATATGTCTTTTTGGGATGAACGCGCAGCATGTGGCTAGTCATAGCGGCCCTACTTTTATACTCTCCTCCGCATACTTCGCATGTAAAAACTTTATCTTTATTTTTGGAATGACGCCTGTGGATATGTAGGCGCAAATTATCCTCGTCCTTAAGCCAGCTATCACAACCTTCAAATGTGCACTTGACCTTCGGACCGCTTTCTTCAAAATGCAAGCGCACATGCTTTTCAAAAAAGGCTTTCGTTTTCATCTCTTTGCCACAAACATGACAAACAAAAAAAGATTTACGACGATGGACCTTTCCTATGTGAGCTCGCAACAAGGCATTACTAGAATACCGACGATTGGGACACTGCTCACATATGAAAGTTCGCTCGTTCATAGGTGTATGTAAGTTTTGATGGATTTCCAGCCTCCTTTTCCGTGCAAACTTTTTTGGGCATAGATCGCAGGTAAATATTTTATCTTTCTCTGGTGCATGGAAGTCCGCCACATGCTGCGATAGAGCTTTTTGATCAGCGCAAATTTTATGACAATCTTGGCATCTGAAAACGATAGTGAATTGTTATAGTAAACTGTTTTTCAACTGATGCCAACACATACTTAAAAATCTCAGGATCGTCGTGTTTATGGGCGTGATGTACAATTGACAACCAGTGCAGAAATTTTCTATTACAGCATTTCACATATGGTTTTATATTTGGATGATCTAACCGATAGTGCTTTTTCAGAGTTTCAAAGTCTGCGCAATCGAAAATACATACGTCACAGCTCATTGAAATGTATTTTTTTACCAGTTCATCTTCATTACATTTGATTTTACCACGCTTTTGTCTCAACTCAGCAAGTCGCAACTCAGCAAGTTTTTTCTGTGACATTGTAAGTTTCTCTGAATTTGTAGCAGTCTTTGTATACTTATTTGGGAGCTTTAGT